CTTTTACCCCAAGGATTTCATCTTTATTGAGCCAAACCAATTGTCCCTGGGGAAGGATAAAAATAAAGGTGCAGAGTTGTGACTCATTGGTGACATCTTAGAATTCTTGACTCAATCAATTTCTCAGATCTGGAAAGGGAAGATAAGAAAGGGCTTTGTGCACAGCTTCTGGTAAAGATTACCTTTCTTTCTACCAAAGCGAAAGATATTTGAGAAATGAGACACAGGCCTCAGATTTAGCAGAGTTCTGAATTTGGAATGTTGCAAGGAGAAAATGATAGGTCACCAGGGTGAAGATTTGGCCTCCTTGTACCTCCTTCACTATATGCATACATTTGGGGTCCACATTTTTCAGATTGGCTGCTACTCCAGATCTCTAGCAGAGTCTTCACTGAAGGAGAACCTCTGACTTTGAGGTGTCATGCATGGAAGAATAAGCTGGTGTACAATGTGCTTTTCTACCAAAATGGCAAAGCTTTTCAGTTTTCTCCTCGGAATTCTGAATTTACCATTCAGAAAACCAACACAAGTCACAATGGCGTCTATCACTGCTCAGGCCTGGGAAGACATCGCTACACATCAGAGGGAGTAACTGTCACTGTGAAAGGTACTGTATCTGAACAGTTCTAGAACTATAGTTGTAAGGACCAGAGAGACAATGAAAATCATCTAAATATCTCACTTAAATTTTTAAGTGAAGAAACTGAGTTCTAGAGTGGCAAATTGCATCACTGAAGGCCACCAATGACCAGTAGCTTGGTTAGTCCAGAACTGAGGTCTCTAGGTCCTAGTCCATTGCTCTTTCCAGGATATCACAGTGCCCCATCAGTAACTGCAGGATTAATGTCAAAGGCAGGGCATAGTAAAGATTCATTTCATTAATTTTGTTTTAGTCACAAAGAATAGAGATTCACTCAAAGTGGCTAAGGAAGTTATTAGAAAATAATCCAATGGAATTTCATGAGTACATCAGGAATTCCATGAAAGGAAACCATTAGGAATGGGTTAGCCTTCCTTCCATCTGTCTCAGGGACATTGTGGCCCTCTGTCCCGGTTCTTTCTAAGCATCTGTACATGAAGCAGCTTCCTGTGTTCTAGTTTCCACATGGCCCTTGTTCTCATTCTTTCATGGTCTTTTTTCTTAGTATTCACAATCAGTAGCAACTTTTTTTCTGTCTGAAAAAAAAAAAAGTCTCTTCCTGTAGGAAAGAAATTACTGACCCAGATTTTCTTTTGAGTCAGGGACATAAGTGTGATTCACTAAACTCCCTGGGTAGACTGTGCCAAAGGGAATGGTTATTTATAAACAAATGGCCATTCAGGGAAGCATGAACTGTGTAGAGTATTATCAACAGGAGGGGAGCAAGCTGGCCACGGTAATTATGTAAATTAGAAAAACCCAAGAATGCCTCTCTGTTTCAAATGGGAAAAAATATGCCTTATGGATGCATTCTCTTGGGGCAAGTTTCCCAAGGGGTTGGGAGGGTCTGTCTTTTGTGAAAAGAACCTTAACCTGGGGGTGCTCTACCACTGAGCTTCAACCTGTCCCCATCACTTTCTCTTTAGAGCTGTTTTCAGTTCCTGTGCTGAGAGCATCCTTGTCACTCCCCGTCCTGGAGGGGAACCTGGTCACCCTGAGCTGTGAAACCATGCTGCTGCTCCCAGAGAGGGCTGGCCTGCAGCTGTACTACTCCTTCTACGTGGGCAGCAAGACCCTAGTGGACAGAAACGCATCCTCCGAGTACCAGATTTTAACTGCTAGAAGAGAGGACTCCGGTTCCTACTGGTGTGAGGCAGTCACAGAAGATGGGAACATACTGAAGCGCAGCCCTGCCTTGGAGCTTCAAGTGCTGGGTGAGAGAGAAGATGGGCTGCTGCTGACAAGGGAGAAGCGGCTCCCTTCTCTCTTGTGGGGTTGAGGCTTGTTCAAGGGTTTTGTGGCCCAGCCAGGAGGAGGAAATCTCTTTCGGAAAAGCCTACGGACAGACCTTTCCATTCCTGATTCAGAACTCACTATTCTCATCACAAATTTCATGAATTTTTCTTTCTTTTTTCTTTCCTTCATCATTCTTCCTTTTCTTCCCCTTCTTCATTTTCTATTGTCCTTTCCTCCCCTCCCACTCCACCTCCTTCCTTCCCTTTTCTGCCCTTCCCTTCTCTCTCCCTCATCAACAATATATTGAGTTCCTCCTATTTACTGCCCGAGGTCTGGGGATATGAACACACGAGGTGTGGTTTTTAAGTTTTATTTCTGTGGATTGAACTGGGGGTGCTCTCCACTGAGCTACACCCCCAGCCCTTTCCCAAACATGAGATCCTCCTTCCTAAGCCCACCTGAATTGCTGTGATTACAGGCATGTGCCACCATGCCTATCTTGGGATATAGTTTTTGAATCAAATAATTTTCATGGTTGATTTATGAGAGGGTGATATTGTCCACTGCACAAAACTACCTGCTCGAGTGTCGATTTAACTGAGGTGTAAGGATTGTGAGCTTGGGAACAAAGACTCTTCAAGGGAAAAGTTCATCCTCAAGCATTAAATGGCATAGAGATAGCAGTTATCTCTGAAACTAACCAAAGACCACCAGTTACGTAAGACTGGGTTCCTCCAGTCCCTTCCTGTCCCCTGAACGCATCAGCACCTCCACTGGGGGTAGGAGCTGCAGCCTCACTCTTTTTTTTCTTCCACACATAAGTCAGTCAGACCCCTCTGGTTTCTGACAGTATCTTTTCTCTTTCTGTTTCAGGCCTCCAGTCGCCAACTCCTGTCTGGTTTAACATCCTTTTCTATCTATCAGTGGGAATAATATTTTTGGTGAACACTGTTCTCTGTGTGAAGATACATAAAGAACTGCAAAGAAAGAAAAAATGGAATTTAGAAGTTTCTTTGGCTTCAGATTCTGGGAAGAAAGTAACTTCCCACCTTCAAAAAGATAGATATTTAGAAGAAGAGGTGAATTGTCTGGAACAACAAGAACAGCCTCAAGAAAAAGCACAACAGAAGAATCCCTAGGAAGGAGGACAGCGGCAACTCAGGGGCGGCCATAGATCTGGACTGCCACTGTCCCTTCCTCTCTGTGGGAGCACTGAGGCACAAACTCCCCAAAGTTGAAGTGCCCTAGAATTGTGGGTCCCATGGCACGTAACTGCTAAATAAAGAAAATACATGAGCTGACTTCAATGGAGACATATTTGGAACTTTGGTAATCAGAGATGATTTGAATTGAGATCTACTCCAAAGAAATCTTTAAAAATTTGGAGGTTAAGTCCAATCTGGTTACCCTGTGAGGTAGTTTGAAAAATAGTATACTTCTGAGAACAAGATAAAACGGCGAGGTTGTGCATATGTGCAAGAGATTAAGACAGAGAAGAAGACAGAAAGAGGGAGATAGGAAGAGATATTCAGAGATGGGTGAGGGGATTTCAGGAAGACCAGGAAATTGTGTAGACTAAAAGGAAGGAAATAGAACTTACAAACGACCTCTGAGGAGCTGAGGGAATGAGAAAGCTCACCCCTGTGGGTTAGGATAGCTGCTTCTTGCCTTTTTCTTTTGGTTAGCCAACGGAGAATGTTTCCAGTCATGTCAGAGGTAGAAGAGATGAACATGAAAGAGATATTCATGATGAGAAATGGGCGTGTTATTCATTTGGAAGTTTCTTGTAATCTCTTTAAATCCAGAGACACCAGAAGTCCCGCCTATCCATTCCTGTCTCCTGCCTTATAGGAAGGCAGAATGTAACTCCTACTTTCCTTAATAAACAAACCCAGATCTCCAAGCAAGGAGAAGTTTCAAATAGGGAAAAGCAGTGATATCATAAGGTATTGGCCCTTGCTACCAGAGATTTGATTTCCCCTTCTGATTTTCTGGATAATTACTAAAAACATGCTGCTCTTCCACTTGGACTAAAGTTTGGAAACAAGATATTTCTCACTACTCTACAACATAGCTAACATAAAAACAGAAATATGGGAATAAGACTTTATAGAAGGAAGGTGTGGGGGGAGGATAACTAGCATAGAAATGTGACTCTAGATCATTTGTTTTTTACAAAACATGGCTTATAGGACAGATAAGGCTCATCCCCACCTAGTCTCCATCTTGGCTCCACGTGGTGGGATTCACCTCAGTGCCAGCCACCTGGAACCTCCCTGTGTTAACTCTCTGTCACTGGGACAAGTTAGAGGAGGAAAGGTTTACTCGGGCTCATGGTTTCAGGAGTTTCAGTCCACAGTCAGCTGGCTCCGTGGCTGTGGGCCTGTGCTGAGAACGTCTTGGGGAGGGTGTGGCTGAGAAGAGCTGCTCACCTCTGGGAGATGGGCAGCAAAGAGAGAGGCAGCAGGGAGGGGCAGGAGACAAGATATAGGCCCCCATGTCACAATCCCCAGGGTCCACTCCCTTTAACCAAGTCCGGCCTCCTACAGTTTCCACCACTTCCCAAAGGTCCATTCAAATTATTCATCCGTCAGTGGGTTAATCTACTGGTTGAGGTTAAAGCCCTCATGAACCAATTATTTCCTAAAAGCCCCACCTCTGCATATTGCTACACTGAGGACCAGGCCTTCAACATAGGAGCCTATGGGGGACAGTCCAGATGCTAACCATCACAATTCCCAAGCAAGTTGGTACTTGAAGTCGATGAGCATCACCGTGGCCAACTGCTTTCCGCATCTGTAGACAAAAAGAATATTCTTCCCTTTAACCTTCAAAAATATAATAATTATCACCTCAATAGAAGCACAGCAATTCCAACGTGTATCAAAAGAAAGGGTTGCATGTCATGGCAGGAGTTTGTTGACTGCACAGAATATTTGGCCTTATGGACGGAGAAAGCAGGGGAGTTAGAGCTGTAGGGGATGAGCCCCTTAGCAAAGAGGCCCAAGGACGGCCCAGGAACATTCTGCAGGAAACTCCTTCCTGAGGAATTGAGAACTGAAGCACAAGAGATTCACACCCAGAAAGGAGACCTCTGTCTACCCCCAGAGAGTGGATAAAATTTGGGGAAAGTACTCCCCAGGGGCATAAGGTGAATGGGACGGGGCAGACAGGAATACAGACAGAGCACTGTGGCCGGGAGGGCAGGGGCGGGGGCGCTGGAACAAGGCCAGTTATTACCAAAGCACAAAGTGCTCTCTCTTTCCCACTCTCTTTTGTGTTTGCTGTCCAAATTTTCCACACTTCTTTGTCACATTTGTTTCTTGTGATAATTTACTACTTAAACAACTTATTTGGTTAAACCAATTTCTTAATTGAAAAATTTGCTTTCCTGTCTACCCCCTTATTTCTGGATTTTAGCTATATCAGGACTAGGTTCTTAGAGTCCCCCACCCTGGGCCCTTATGCCCATTCCAGCCTGTACCACCCAGAAGTCTGAACCTAGGAGGGAGCTGGGGTGACCTGCTCAAGGCACAGCTGGAAGGTACAGTTAAGGGACCGTCCTCCACAATGCCATATGTGCACTGTGTCTCTAGCAGGAAGACTGTGAGTCCAAGAGCCAAGCAGTAGGTAGTATTTCCATTTACTGTCACTCCTAAAGACCCACTGAGGGACTTGTATGCTCTCTATCCTTACAACTCCTGTCAGTGGGGTTAGGGATTCTAGTCCCCTATGGGGGCATGACACAGCCTGAGTCCAGTGGAATTATAACCCTTAGCTGATGCCTGGGTTCTTCAGGTTTCTTTTGTCTATGAACCAGCAGGCAAGAAGAGTAGTCACTGTCTTAATAGGAATGACTGATCCCGATCAGCAGGAGATGGGCTGCTACTTACAATGGAGATAGAAATATGAATGGAACCAAAGTAATCTACTCGGTGCCTCATATTATTCCCTTTCCCAATGGTGACTTTAAGTAGACAGGTGCAGCAAATACAGACTTAGAAGGGCTTAGTGACCAGGCACTTAGGCCCTTTGGGATCTGGATTGTGATACCAGGTTAGCCTCTGAGGCAATGAGTAGCTATTGTGACCCTGAAATCCAAGTGCCACAACAGGTGCTGTAGTTTGTCCCGCCAACCCATTTTCCATCAGGAAGAAAATCCCAGAAGAATTCTGAAAGAGGATCTTCCCAGATGTCTATGGAGAAGTGGATCCAGATGGCACAGGAGCGCCCAGTGGTAGATGTAGAGATGTACTGCCCAAACCCTTCCAAGAAAGAACTTGGTGACGGCCTCAGCAGACAGCCTACAGCTGTTAGTTAAGCACCTTCAGGGTCTGCCTCAGCCTCCTCCCTGCGAATCCCACCCTTTGTGCAGCAGCCTGCATCTCCTGCCTCAACCAAGCAGCACAGGCCTGTGGGCAGTAGTCCTTAAGTTCTTTGCCAGTTCCATCAAAGTTCCACTGGGCACTCTGCAGGCTGATTCTCCCTGCTAGCCCTTCTTCCTACTCTTCCTTTCACAGGTGTTCACCCTTAGTAAATTCCTTGCACTCCAAACTGTTTTAGCATCTACTTCCAGAGAATCCAACCTGAAACAGTTTTATATGCCACAGCAACAATTTATAGTCTTTGGAGTCTTGTAAGACCTCTTTGGTCAAATATACTTTGAGACACATTTATTTTAATATAGTACACAAATTAGTTACAGAAAAAAAATACATATACGGTGCTATTTGGTACAGGAAAGCAAGCTTGATATTCCTGTGATTCCAGTTTAAAACCTTATCAAATCAGATTTATTTTTATACTGGGGATTGTGCTTTACCACAGAGCTACATCCCCAGATCTTTTAATTTTTTTGAGACAATGTCTCATTAAGTTGCTGAGGGTATTGCTAAATTGCTGAGGCTGGCCTTGAACTTGTAGTACTCTTGCCTCAACCTTCCAAGTTGCTGGGGTTACAGGCATGTGCCACCATGCCCAGAGCTTCAGATCAGATCTTTAAAAGTTGATTTATGATGTAAAATATTTTCTCTCCTTCTCACTGAAAGGGAGAGAGGGGCTGGGGTTGTGGCTTAGTGGTAGAGTGCTCATCTAGCACATGTGAGGCACTGGGTTGGATCCTCAGCAACACATAAAAATAAATAAATAAAATAAAGGTGTTGTGTCTAACTACAACTAAAAGATATTAAGTAAAAAAAGAATATGGAAAAAAGAAAGGGAGAGGGAACATTCTCATTTGCTTCTGATTGTACTTCTGTGAATTAGAGTCTTGCTTTTTGAAGTCAGAATTTGGAATTTCACTGGTTGTCATTTGAAGCAAAATTCAAGACAGCTAATTTTACTGACAGAAATCAAGAAATGAAGCATTATAAACTAGAGTTAAGTCCTTATGGGTTTTCCCATCTTACACTTAGGGATAAAGATAGGTATTAGAAATGAATATGTTGGTGCATGCTGAAATGTTCTGAATATTAATGTATTGCAGAGAGGTGGGGCAGAATTCATGAACATTTTAAAGATCTTGCCTTTTCTTTATTATTAAATAAACAAAAACCAA